CGTTACAAGTAACGTATAACGCAAGCGTTACTGCGTTACTAGAAAAGTAACGCAAAAAAGCGTTAAAGTAACGCAAATAACGCTGCGTTACTCGTTACAAAAGCTATGAAAAATAAACGCATCTCGTGAGTAGTTACTGGTAACGAGTAACGCATGCGTTACTGCGTTACCTGTAAAGAAACGGTAAAGCGCCATCCATCCCTACTTGAGAGTCGTAAGAACAGACGTTTTATCGAAAAACGCTTACCGTTCTCTGAGAAAGTGAAATATCAAAACTCACATTCTGTCAGCCTGTAACCATATGCAGGTACTCCGTAAAAGTAGCGACATCCCGTGACTCGAGAACCGTGATAGGAACGGACTTCTACTTTGGTGTCATCACCTATAAAAGTATTAAGCAGAATATTTTCACGCAAAATTTTGCAAAAAAAAGCATTAAGATTCAAGAACATGATTCTGCAAAGTTGAGCAGATTTCAAGTTTGTGCAAGGCATCTTGAGCTATACACAAAAGTTATAAAGGAAGGTAGGTTTTTGCAGGTGCCATTAGGAAATTCGTAACTCTCCATAGAAAAATTTTCCCCGTCCTCCTATGGTTTAATTAGATCATTTCGGGACATATTGTAGTAGATATTTCATTGTAAGTTCGCAAAAAGAATTGTATTTAGAAAAGAGCTGTCTGATATTGTTCTAGAATGAGTCATTCACATAAAACAGCTGGCGTTTATTATTCGCCTACCAAGCTTCGTGACAAACCATTTTCGGCCACAATCGTAAACAAAACGTCACAACCAGTCACGGCTATAGTCTTGTATACTTGTGACAAAAATTATGCTTCGTGTCAAGATCAAACATTGCGTAGTATTATAAATGCAAATGGTGGTGAATTGCGTGCAAATGAAGTATCGTGTGAACATCAAGGTGTCGGTGTTTATAAAGAAATAAAACAAATTGAGATTGAAAAACAAGATTCAGCAAAAATGGTATTATCAGCACCGTTTGAAGGTGGTTCGACAAATTTGGTATTCGAAGTTAGCGACAATGAAATCAGCGCAATTCGAAATAAGCAGTGATTTTCTAAGCACGAAAAGATGATCTACATAAGTATATCAAACGAAACAACTATCATAGATAAGATTTATCTTGATCGGCCTATAGACTGATCTGTCCATATCACTGTTGAATAAATAGCGCCACATCAATCTACGAATTAAAACGTACCGGCAGTTAGTGGTCTTAAAAAATATCTTTAATTTTTCTTAAATACTTCTTTTGTCTTGAAAAATGAAGCAAGTGGATGATCTTATAATGTGTAAGAATTTACGCACAGTAATAAGACGTGCATTTTGCAATAGCATAGCAAGCCTGTGCTCTAATATGAATGAATGAAGACTCTTTTATGCCGTTTTCATTGGCAGTTATCAGACCTAGGACGAAAGTGTTTGTACTTGTACTTTTAGTAACTTTTCAAGTAAAAGTGTTATACTTATACTTGCAAAAATGTACTTGATACTTGTACTTATACTTTAAGAAAAGTACTTGGTACTTATACTTGTACTTCGAGATAAATACTTTTGTACTTGTACTTAAGTACAAAAACAGAGTACTTTGTAC